CTTCCCCTTCTTCCCCTTCTTCCCCTCTTTTGTTTTCTCTTGTTTCATTCCCTTTCCCCTTCCCTCCCGCCTGGATGGCAGCACAGTGCAGAGGATGCTGATGTTGCCCTGCGCCCGCTGTGTCCTCATGCAGAGCAAGAAGAAGTTCTATGACACAGAGCTGGAGAACCTGGAGCGGCAGCAGAAGCAGCAGATCGAGCGGATGGAGCAGGAACATTCCCTGCGCCGGCGCGAGGAGGCCAAGCGCATTCGCCTCGAGCAGGAGAGGGACCATGGCAAGTTCCTGGAGCAGCTGAAGCAGATGAAGAAGGAGGTAACAATGGGCAGAGGAGGAAGCAAAGCTGCTTTCCTGCATCTCCAGGAAACCTGCAGCATTTCCCCATAGCAGAACTGGAGTGGGAAGCAGCTGTTTTAGCAGGAAGCTCTTGCTTTTCTCTGGTGTTTCCTGAGGTGCAGCTGTTCAGTGACACTGGGTGGGTTGTCCTTGGCCAAAAGGTACCTGCAGATAAATCTCATTTCCCTCCCCACAGGTTAAGAATGAGGTTGAGAAACTGCCACGGCAACAGCGCAAGGAGAACATGAAGGCCAAGATGGATGAGTTCGCCCAGAAGAAACAAACCCTGGTAAGGCTGAGAGAAGATACCCCCAGCCTCAAGATTGGGAAGTGGGTGGTAGGCAGAAGCATCCTTGAGGGACTGGCAGTTACTGAAACACCACCAGTTGCTTTTCAAGTTGCAGCAGAAAGAGAGCTCATGGTGGTGCCATAGTATGTGAAGAGGTTGGAATGGAGCTTAGAGATCATCCAGCCCCAACCCCCTGCCCTGGGCAGGGACACCTCCCACCAGAGCAGGTTGCTCAAGGCTTCATCCAACCTGGCTTTGAACACTGCCAGGGTTGGGGCAGCCCCAGCCTCCCTGGGCAACCTGTGCCAGTGTCTCATCACCCTCTCAGGAAAGACTGCTGCCTTATATCTCACCTAAATTTCCCTCTTTCACTTTCTCCCCGTTACTCTTTGTCTTGTCCCTACAGCTCCTAACCAAGAGTCCCCCTGCAGCTTCCCTGGAGCCCCTTCAGATCCTGAAAGGTGCTCTGAGGTCTCCACACAACCTTCTCTTCTCCAGGCTGAACAGCCCCAACTCCCTCATAGGGGAGATGCTCCAATCATCTTTTCAACTTCATGGTCTCCTCTGGACTTGCTCCAACAGTTCCATGTCCTCCTCATGTTGGGGACACCTGACCTGTGTGCAGTACTCCAGGTGGGGCCTCACAAAAGCACGGTAGAGTGGGAGAATCACCTCCTCCCACTGGTTTCTTCCAGGAACAGGAGTTTCTGGCCAAGCAGAAGGAGGACCTGGAGCAAGCCATGAAGAATATAACTGCCCAGAACAAGAGAGAGATCTGTGACAAGGAACGCGAGTGCCTGAGCAAAAAGCAGCAGCTCATGAGAGGTGGGTGGCAAAGTCTGGAAGGAAGGGAGGAAAGGGAATGCTGGAAGGAAAGGAGGAAAGGGAATGCTGGAAGGAGGGATTTATCCAGCTCTGGCTCTTCCCACGCAACAGATGCTGTGACAGAGCTGCAAGCTGGCAGGATGGGATTTGGGAACAAACAGCCTTGCCAGAGCCTGTCTAAATGTTTAACAATAATAATCCTTAGTGCTTTAATCTCCAAAGCACTTTACAAATATGAACCAATTAGGCTTCATCATTGCAAGAAATGATTCTCCAATATGGTTTGCAACCAAGTTCTCTTGGGAAATGGGAGGTAATGATCACCCCCTGCATCTGTTGTACTGCTCATGTGTGTAGGATCTCTTGAGCTTGAGAGACTGTGTGACCAAGCTGGGGGCCAGGATGGGTTGTCTCCTGACCCTTCTCTCCTCCACAGATCGGGAAGCATGTATCTGGGATCTGGAAGAGCGCCAGCAGCAGGAGAAGCACCAGCTGGTCAAGCAGCAACTGAAGGACCAGTACTTCCTCCAGAGGCATGAGTTGCTCAGGAAGCATGAGAAGGTGAGGAGTTAGCACCTTCCTGTGGTCAGCAAGATGTCTGGGTGTGCTGAGAAGGGATGTTTCAGGCTGGAAGTGGACATGGGTGGGTTGTGAGTTAAAGGAGTTGGTTATGAGTAGTGAAAAGGGCCCAGAGTAATGCTCATGTCCCACTTGCTTGGGGCATGTGTTCTGTGCTGTATGTAAGAAGCAGTTGGGAATTTCAGGGGCATTTGTGGAAATCTGTCACTGTCCAGTACTTGACATGATTGATCCCCATGTCAAGGTCCTCAAGCTTCACTTCCAAGTGAGCGAAGACCTACACATTCCTTCCAGCCCCTTGCCCCCTCTTTTCACAGCAAGCTCAGTAGTTGCACTCACCTCTTGTCCCTTTGGAGCTCTCTATCTCCAGCCACCTCTGTGCTACTCCCAAATCTGCTCTCCTTGTTCTGCTCAGCCCTTTCTTGATGGCCTGAGGTGTTCCTCCTCTTGATACCTGTGTCTCTGCAGGAGAGGGAGCAAATGCAGCGCTACAACCAGCGCATGTTGGAGCAGCTGAGGATTCGGCAGCAGCAGGAGAAGGGTCGACTGCCGAAAATCCAGCGCAGTGAGGGCAAAACACGCATGGCCATGTACAAGAAGAGCCTCCACATCCACTCCAGTGGGAGTGCAGCTGAGCAGAGGGAGAAGGTAAAACAGGTAAGTGCTTGGGCTGGGGGAGGGGTATTTGTCTGGCCTGTTGGCAGATGGGAAGTTGGGAAAATGTAGCTGTTCTCAACTTCTAACCCATGGCAGGGAGGACTTTGTGGCATCAGGTGTGGGTTTCAGTGCTGTTTCCATTGTGATAGTGTCAGGAAGCATAAAATCAGAGAATCATCAAGGCTAGAGGAGATCTCTAAGGTCACCAAGTCCAACCATTAACCTGTCACTGCTGCAACCCCTAAACCCTAAACCATCTCCTCCAGCACCAGATCCAGATACCTCTTAAACACATCCAGGGATGGTGACTCCACCACCTCCCTGGGCAAAATCCCAGTGCCTGAACACCCTCACAGGGAAAACATTTCTCCTAACATCCAATCTGACTCTGCCCTGCCTCAACTCAAGGCCTCTCCCTGCAGCCATGGCAGGACAGACATCCCCCACCTCTCTCCAGCCCTGTCAGGGAGTTGGAGAGAGCCATGAGGTCACCCCTGAGCCTCTTCTCCAGGCTAACCAAGCCCAGCTCTCTCAGCCCTTCCCCATGTGCTTTACCCTTTGCTGCCCTCATTGCCCTTGGCTGGACTCACTCCAGCACCTCAATGTCCCTTTCAAAGTGAAGGGCGCAAAACATCCTTGGGGCTTTTCTTTCTTTCCTAGATGATAGTGCAATCTGGTTGGTCTCTGACCAAAGAAACTCTTCCAGCATGTGCACCTGCTTTTCTCTGTTCCAGTTTGCCCTGCAGGAGGAGAAGAGGCAGAAGGCAGAGCGGCTGCACCAGCAGCACAAGCACGAGTCGCAGATGAAGGACATGCAGGCCCAGTGTGAGAGCAACACCAACGAGCTGCAGCAGCTGCAGGTACCTGTCCCTCATGGCTTGGTCTCCCAGAACTGCCTGTGCTGGGCTTAATCGCTTACTAAGTAGCTGTAGATGGCTGTCAGTGAGTTGGACCTGATGGTCCCTTGCTCTTGCCTTGAGAAGCTTTTGTGGCCATATCTAAATGTGGTCAGAGCTCTGATTGTCCTTCTTATGTTGGGGACACAGGTTTTTTTGTCCCCAATATAAGGACACAGAACTGTTGGAGCAAGTCCAGAGGAAGGCATAAAGTTTATAAGAAGACATCTCCCCTATGAGAACAGGTTGAGGAAGTTGGGGCAGTTCAGCCTGGAAAGGAGAAGGTTGTGTGGAGACCTCAGAGCTCATTCCAGGATCTGAAGAGGCTCCAGGAAAGCTGCAGAGGGACGTCAGGAACTGTAGTGATAAGACAAGAAGTAATGGGGATAAATTAGAGAGGAAGGTTAGAGTATATCTTAGGCAGAAGCTTTCTCTGTGAGGGTGGTGAGACACTGGCACAGGTTGCCCAGGGAGGCTGTGGCTGCCCCAACCCTGGCAGTGTTCACAGCCAGGTTGGCTGAAGCCTTGAGCAACCTGCTCTGGTGGGAGGTGTCCCTGCCCAGGGCAGGGGGTTGGGGCTGGATCATCTCTAAGCTCCATTCCAACCCCTAAAACAATTGATGAATCTATGAAACAATTGTCTGTGGCTGAGGCAAGTCCTGTTTGCCCCTGGCTGTATGGCCCCAGCTGCCTCATGGCTCCTCTGCTTTGTGTTCAGAATGAAAAGTGTCACCTCCTGATCGAGCATGAAACGCAGAAGCTGAAGTCCCTGGATGAGAACCACAACCAGCACATGAAGGAGTGGCGAGACAAGCTGAGGCCACGGAAGAAGGTAGAGCTGCTTGGTGTGAGCAGTGTGTGCTCTGTGCTGCTTGGGGGGCAGTCACCATAGCTCCAATACAGTCCTTTACCCTTTCTTCTTTCCCTTTTTTCCTTTCCCATTTCCTTTTTCCTTCGTTTCCTGTTTCCCTTTTGTTTTCCCTTGTCCTTCCCTCTCCTCTCTCCTTCCCTCTCTCCTCTCCTTTCCTCTCCCCTCTCCTCTCCTTTCCTCTCCCCTCTCCTCTCCTTTCCTCTCTCCTCTCCTCTCCTTTCCTCTCTCCTTTCTGCTCTCCTTTCCCTTTTCCTCCTGTCTCCTGGGTGTAAGCAGTGTGTCCTGCTGTGCTGCTTGGTGGGGACAGCATCCATATCTCCAGCCCAACCTCACATACAGCTCTCTGTGTGTGCTCCCTTATTCTCAAGGCCCTGGAGGAGGAGCTGAACCAGAAGAAGCGTGAGCACTCTCCTCTCCTTTCCTCTCTCCTTTCTGCTCTCCTTTCCCTTTTCCTCCTGTCTCCTGGGTGTAAGCAGTGTGTCCTGCTGTGCTGCTTGGTGGGGACAGCATCCATATCTCCAGCCCAACCTCACATACAGCTCTCTGTGTGTGCTCCCTTATTCTCAAGGCCCTGGAGGAGGAGCTGAACCAGAAGAAGCGTGAGCAGGAGATGTTCTTCAAGCTGAGTGAGGAGACAGATGGACAGACACCAACATCCCCAACCAAACATGCCAAGTTTGTCCCCTTCAGCTCCTCAGAGAGCTTGTAACACCGCACAGCTGGCAGGCCACCAGCTGGTACTGGCTGTGTCCTCCTGGGCTGCAGATGGGCAACTTGCACTTGGAAGATCGTCTCAGCAGCCTCTTCTCACATCAGCATCCTCTTGTCCTCTTGCCCTGCGTGGGACCACTGTGGCCTCTGCGCTGAGGGATGCTGCCTGGAAGGTTTGGTGGCTCTCCCAGGAGCTGTGTGCTGCTCAGCACAGCTGGGCATTGGGCAGGACCCTTTCTGGACTGTACTTGCACTGTTCCTGCACGTGTGGCCTCTCACATGAGCCTGGTGCTCGTGGGGCTTATCAGCTCAACCTGAAGCAGTAACCACTCTGCCCAGGGGAGCAGGGAACCCTCCTGCCCTCTGAGCAGAGGGTCTCACCCTCTCTCTCCACTGAGGCTGCTCCTCCTCCTGTCCTCTGTAAGGACTCACCTGGGGCAGAGCAGCTTTGGCATTGTCTTAAGCTAACCTTGGCCTCGAGGACCCAACACTTGCCTCAAATTCATTCCTATTCACTGTGGCCCATTTTTGCTCAAGGGAGAAACAGCAATTTGGGCTTTTTTGCCTTTGAGGAGGGTTTTTTCCTACCTTTGCCTCCCCTTATAGCCTATGCAGAAAGGGCACTGGCTGGATGTCCTCCCAAGGATGTTTCTGCTTCTTCCTTTGCCATGATCCCTGGCACCTCAGCACCCCTGCAGCTAACACTGTGTCATCAGAGACTGGATGATGGTGGAACTAAACTGGTCAGCTGGCTGCAGGTTTTTCTCCTTAAAGCAGCGTATGTGCACGTGCAGAGGAGGTTTGGAACAGTGCTTCGTCCTGTGGTGGCACAGTGAAGTGTCTGTCACTGTCATGTGCCTGTTGGTGAGGACAAGTCGAGGAGCTGAAGGGTGTTACTGCCAGAGCTCTCATGGTCACACATGTGCTTGAGCTTCCAGTGCTGTGGGGGGGGGGGCCATGTGTGTCAGCCAGCCTGGCCACTCTGCATCAGGGCTGTGGGCTGCAGAGCATCACTTGGAAGGATAGAGGAGTCATGAAGCAAGGGAAGAGGAGCTACAAAGACAGGCCATGGTGGTTTGTTACTCTTGGCATCACTTTGTCCTCTGATGTCTCATCTCCACAGTTCCTTGGATGATTCTGGCTTTCAGCTTGGAGTTGAGTGGCAAAGCAGCAGCAGGTCCAGACCTCTGTGCATTCTGCTCCATGGTGAGGTGTCTCCTCCACCTGCTGCTGGGTAGGGCTCAGAGCACAGACCTGGGTGACGAGTCAGAGACCTCACTGGCAGCACCTTCTTCTTTACACAACCCAAAGGTGTAAGGTAGCACTTAAGTTTTCTCTCTGTTGATCTCTGGGCAGTGTTATTTGGTTTAGTTCTGATTCCCTAGCAAGACAAAATGTTTCTGCTTAAAAAGAATGAGGAAAGGAAAACGTATCAAATCTCACATGTTTTCAAGGCTCAGATGTTGATGTAGGGACAGACTGGCATTGCCGGAAAAGGTGGTATGTGATGTGCTACACTCGTAGGTACCAAGCTGAAGGAGTTAGCCCCAAAGTCTGTAACTCTGTACCTTGGGAGTGAATTTCCTACTCATTTACAGTTCCAATTACAGCTGTATGAGCCTTCTGCAAACTAGCTAGACTTCAGCTATTTGGGCCCTTCCAGGTTACTTCTGAATGCCCAGCATTAATGTGTCTGTTCACGAGCACAGGGAGGCTGGTGCCTCATTCCCAAAGCATGGATTGTGCCCTTCAGGTGGGACAGCACCAGTCTGGAGCTGATGTAAGAGCAATGAATGCAAAGAGATGGTCCTGAACCAGGACAAGGAGCTGCTTTGAGCCTTTTCATTCCATTAGAGATGTGTTCTAGCAGCCCCAGTGGTTTTGTTCCTCATCCCAGCAGGGTCAAGCTGGAGCTGTCCTAGGAAATGGTTATGTCACAGAAATCAGTCCCTGGGGCCTGTCCTTCATGTGACTTGCAGAGGGATGTCCTCATCACACACCTCCTCCAGCTGAAGGGCATTGCTGCCTCTGCCTTCTCCACCAGCCTAGGGAGCAGCAGCTCCCTCTGGATATTGTGTGTCCATGAGGAAAGACTATTTCTAGGGGCTCTTAAAGAGCTGATGTGATGGCCCATGGCAAATGGTTGTCCCTCTCTCCAGCCTACCTTATTTTCAGCCTGGAATGAGCTAACTAACAGAGGATAGGAATGGTTCTGTCTGCTGCCTTTTCCCTCTGTTCCCTCTCTGGGTGTGCCAGGCCTCTAGTTCCATGTCCTTTCCTAGCAGAGGGCAAGAAAGCACATGATTGTCATGTTTACAGGGTGGTTATTTTGCCCCTCCTTTCAAAAGAGGATGTTTTGTTCCATGTTGAGAAGGATCCAGGATTAACCCCAGCTTGCTTTTGAGGGAGGTGGGATGTCATTTTAAAACAATGTGGCTTGGAATAAAAAGAGTTTTTTAAGTATTTTGTGAAGTGTCTTCAGTGGAGACACCACTGTGTTGTAAAGAGCCTTCTAATAAAGTAAGAGTTAAAGACCTGGGCATGTGTCTGACATCACAAGGACATGGAATGGTTGGAACAAGTCCAGAGGAGGCCACAAGGTAAGAGGATTGGAGCATCTCCCCTATGAGGACAGGCTGAGGGAGTTGGGGCTGTTCAGCCTGGAGAGGAGAAGG